GGGTCAGCTAGAAAACGGCTTTCATTCCCGGTTCCACCGCTGCCACAGCAAATAGATGGTCAGAGTTTAAGGAGTCCAAGCTTCAAAAGTATAGGTGGTTCACAATTGGGTGCATTGGAGCAACAATCAAATTACTCTTCTTGTTGTACTGAGTCTCTTGGTGGTGGTGGAGAGATATCACCTGCTTCTACTAGCGATTATAGGCGATGGTTAAGATGATTCCATAATCCAACCAAATCAACCGGTCTTGATTTTTTCCTCCTTTTTTTTTTGTTATATATAAATAAAAATATTTTGACAAAAAGGACGATGACTTTTTTTAGTTTTTATTGATGATCTTAAAGATTGGTGTGTATTTTTTTTTGTTTGTGTGTGTGTGTGAATTTGTAGCTTATAAATGAAAATTGGAAAATGTAGTCTTTACTAATTGATCTCTATATAAATATGTTCATTTTTTTCTCTTTAAATGTTGCAAACTAACCGTATGAAGAATGCATCAACAATTGAAGAATGATTTGGTCGAGTATATATGGAAAATATTCCAGAAATTAAGTTTAAAACATCTGTGCTTTATGTTATTTATGTTATAAATTGTATCTCATGTATGTTTTAATTTTTTTAATTTGCAATAATTATTAAATTTTCAATAATTATAAATTTTATTTTTATATTAATATTTTTTTCTTCTAAGAACCACATGTTAAGAGCCTACCATTAATCACACAAAAATCTTAACTCAAAAATACTATCTCTTAACAATAACTTTTACAAATAAATTACTTAAATATTGCTAAGAAGTATTTCTAAGAAACTACCTATAATCATGCTCTTATGATGCTAACAATAATTTATCAAGCTGTCATATGGAATTCATTAGTATACAATAACTTAAATTTTCACTGGCCCCTCTTTGTTTTTAATACTATGAAAAAGTGAAGTTGTTAAGAAATGACCATAAAAAAAGGCTGCAACTTTGCAACTTGAGGCACGAGCAAAGAACATTACCCATGTGACATGATTCCTACATGATCAGTCTTGTCTTCTACGTTACACACAACTCCATATCCACTAATCCACCTAAAGATAAATTAAATGCCTCTGAAATAGTATAATCTAAATCAAATAAACAAACACCTTGAAATCTATTAAGTTGACTCAAATTTTGAAGTTTTTTTCATTTGTATTATTTGTACCACCCCTGTGTTTATTACTCTTCAATTCTTGTCAACTTGTAAAGTATTTATTTATCAGCTTATTACATTTTTGAAAGATGTATAATTGAATATCAGTAGTTAAGCGGGAGACGCGAAACAGCACGTAGTTTTCATATCCCAGAGGAAAACGGCAGGGCTGACAAAATTACGAATATTTGAATGGGCCTCGTGGAAAATTATAAAACTCTAGGCCCAATATAAAATGTAATGGGCCTAAAAAGTTTTTTGTTTTAGGGTTAGTGTGCGGTTACATGAGATCATAGCCCACGAGTGGGTAAGGAGTGTCTTCATCTTCTACCGGAGATCGAGAAATAGCCGACGAAGTTTGTTTTGAGTAAAACAGTATTCGTCGGACAACCGAAGCGAAATCCCTAATTTCCCAACACGAAATACCAATTTCCCCCAATTCGAAAACAAACACGGTCTGGTATGCCGAGAAAATTCTCCATTTCTACTTTTCTTATACATTTGTTTTGGTTGTTTCGTAGAATACTCTCATCTTCTTCGATTTTGTTACCCTCCCCAAAATAATAAAAAAGGATAAACCCTAGTTTCTATCTCAGACTGTTTCAAGTTCAGATTTTTACCTATATTTCTGAGCTGAAGCTGGTGAGTTATTTGCTTTTCTGGGTTTTGTTTTCTGGAGATATGTGTCAGTTACGATCTCTCATTTCATTGGTTGCTTCGTGTGTGACTTGATTCGTTCTGTTATCAATTTGACTGCTTTATAAGTTGAATTTGGATCTGGAATCAAATACACACACAAAGTCGGCTCTTTTCTTATCAAAGTTTTCATATTTATCACATTATACATTTGTTTCTTCTGTGTATCTCTACCACTAAAAGAACCTAAATTTAGTTTGAACCATCCTTTCTTCTCCACTTGACATAAAACGAAAAAATAACAGTTTTCTCATATCACCCAATTCTGCTTCTCTTTTTGTACGTTTTTTTTGGTGTATGGTTCTATATCATATCTCAGTGATTCTTCCTGGTTAAAAGAGTATGGTTATTGGATGACCAGATATCGTTTGCAAGAACCTCATGTCAGACGCTAGAGATAATGATGACCGTGTTGATTTCGAGGAGGGTAGCTACAGTGAGATGGAGGATGAAGTGGAGGAGGAACAAGTAGAAGAGTATGAAGAGGAGGAAGAAGAAGATGAAGATGATGATGACGGTGGCAATCAGAATGCCGAAGAACGTGACGTGGAAGATTATGGTGATACAAAAGGAGGGGATATGGAAGCTCAGGAGGAAATAGCTGAAGATGACGACAACCATATTGATATCGAGACAGCAGATGATGATGAGAAACCAGCATCTCCTATTGATGAGGAAGATAGGGAAAAGTATTCCTATCTTCTTTCACTTCCTCCTCATGGATCTGAAGTTTTTATTGGCGGGCTCCCGAGGGATGTTGGAGAAGAGGACCTGAGGGATCTATGTGAAGAAATAGGCGAGATCTTTGAGGTTGGAAATACAATAATTTATGTGTTTCATCTAGCAGCATGATGCTCTTTGTTGGTTCTGTATTTACGGCTGACTTTTAACTTCTTTTCTATTAGGTGAGACTGATGAAAGATAGGGACTCTGGTGATAGCAAAGGCTATGCTTTTGTAGCCTTCAAAACGAAAGATGTTGCACAAAAGGCCATTGAGGACTTGCACAGTAAAGAGTTTAAGGCAATCTCAACTGCTAACTGTGTAGCTTAAGTTTATCAATCATTGCCAGTTTACATTTTACTTATATAACAACTTTTATTTAACCTATATCTGATTTTTGTTCAGGGAAAAACCATAAGATGCTCTCTTTCCGAAACTAAGAATAGGTTGTTCATTGGTAACATACCAAAGAACTGGACTGAGGATGAGTTTAGAAAAGTCATAGAGGATGTTGGTCCTGGAGTGGAGAACATCGAGCTCATAAAAGTAAGAAGACTTAATCAATCTGATTGCCATGCTTGATCTTACTTAATTGCCTTACTAATTATCTTCTTGTTGCTTGTAGGACCCAGCAAATACCACTCGTAACCGTGGTTTTGCATTTGTTTTATACTATAACAATGCATGTGCTGATTATTCAAGGCAGAAAATGATAGATTCTAATTTTAAGCTTGAGGGTAACGCTCCAACTGTGACTTGGGCAGACCCAAAAAGTTCTCCTGAGCATTCTGCTGCTGCTGCTCAGGTATTATTTAGAGGGTTTAGTCAATCTGCACAAAATCCTCTCTCCTGACCAAGTTGGCACTTTTTTGACAAATCTCTTTTGCGCTATATACTCAGGTGAAAGCCCTTTATGTCAAGAATATTCCAGAGAATACCTCAACAGAGCAGCTAAAGGAACTCTTTCAGAGGCATGGAGAAGTGACAAAAATCGTTACGCCACCTGGAAAGGGTGGAAAACGTGATTTTGGGTTTGTCCACTATGCTGAAAGATCTAGTGCATTGAAGGCTGTCAAAGATACTGAGAGATATGAAGTCAATGGTAAGTTTTTTTACTCATCTAGAAAACAGCTATTGAGTATTATGAACATTATGCTTTCACTTTCTCTCGAATGGCATTTGTTTTTTCATCTCAAGAGATGTTATTGAGTAACACATTCCACAAACTTGCAAACTACAGGTCAACCACTAGAAGTTGTGCTTGCTAAACCCCAGGCTGAAAGAAAGCATGACCCTTCTTCTTATTCTTATGGCGCTGCTCCTAATCCTGCCCCCTTTGTGCATCCCACGTTTGGTGGTTTTGCTGCGGCTCCTTATGGTGCTATGGGTGCCGGTTTGGGTATTGCCGGTAGTTTTAGTCAGGTATATATGTTTCTAAGAAAGAGCTGTTTGTCATCCTTATGTAGTCTTATCAGCCATTTTTTCGTGTGTAACGTTTGGTTTTTAATTTTGCATTGAGCAGCCAATGATATATGGTAGAGGAGCAATGCCAACAGGGATGCAAATGGTTCCAATGCTTCTTCCCGATGGCCGAGTTGGCTATGTTCTGTAAGTTGATGGTTCTTGTAACCAAAGTTGTTGATCCTTCTCTATTGATTCATATTTACATTCGCTTAATAACCAATATGGATTGTTGTGCAGGCAACAGCCTGGTATGCAGATGGCAGCAGCACCACCAGCACGACCCAGAAGAGTTGACCGGAATAACGGATCAAGTGGAGGGTCAGGCCGAGATAACAGTCATGAACATGATGGTAACAGAGGAGGCCGAAGGTACCGACCCTACTAGCAACCATAGAGAAAATAAGCAAGTAGAAAATGAAAAGGAGAGGTGTATTGGGATTTGTTTGTAGTTTGTTTCTTTGGAGAACTTTAAAAGCTCTCTCTCATGTGTTATAAAATATGAAATCGAAACCTTACGGTTTCCGGTTTGATATGGAGACTGCTGGGGGATAGGGTGAGTGATTTGATCTTAAATTACGAGACTTTTTTTTTTCTCTTCTGAATAATACTCTTCTCAATTATCCATCAGGTTTTCTTTTTGCTCTTGTTCTTATACAGAATTTTCTAAATGAGAGTCTATGATTAGTGTTAAAAATAAAAAAGATAGTCTATGACATCTAGCCGTTGTGCAACTTTGTCATGGCCAGGTTGTTTACGTATACAACAAGTTATCATTGGGTCTCATAACATTACAGTGTGAAGATATCAAACGAACATAGACTTTAAACAAGCAAAGAAATGAATCAAATCAATTACATTAATACAACAACAATGTGTTATCAGAATTCTCTTTGAGAAGAGTGTTATCTACACACTGGAGGGTAGTCCGAAGACTTTTTCGACAATGATTGATTGATTCTGTTTCAATCAAGGGTCGATGTCAGAACGAGTTGGAAATTCAAGGCCTTGAAGGGAAGTCATGTTATCGAGATCGTCTTTAGAGTACAATGGGAGGAGCCAAAACGCCTTCTTCTTCCCAAAAACCTTCACAAGAAGACATCAATAACAAATGTATCAATTTAACTAAAGATTCATGGAATGATGAAAACAAAAGGACTCACCTCCTCGAAGTTTTTCTTCTTTCCCAAGTCATATTTCCATCTGACTTCTCCATTTTTCTCATGCATCTAAGAAACAAGGACGATGATTCAGAGAAGAGAATCGTATGTTCAAGCTTTAGATTGTTTGTAGAAGCAAACATATTAGACTTTACCTCAACTGAAGTAGTGTTGGATGAGAGAAGAGAAAGGTGCATGACTACGAAACAAAGAAGGCTGAGAACGAACGCTAAGTTAAGAACTGCATCAAGGGGATAGAATCTGTAAGAAACATAAAGACGGAAAATGAGACCCCCAGAAAAAGCTAAGCACTTTCTGGGAAAAGGAAAGCGAGAAAAAGAACAGTTTACACTCACCAAATGCCAGAACGAGGGAGGCCAGTTTACCCGGAGAAGAAGAATGCTTTATAGCTTGGCTGAAGAATTCAATGAAGCTAGGAAGCAGGACTATAACGTCCAACATTGTCTCAAGAAAAGTATAGAACTACAAATCGAAAAAGGAGAAGGAATCAGCAAATCAACTAATCCCAATGCTCACTTAAACCATTTAAGAACCATAAGATTACAATGGAAAGGAGTTTTTGACCAGAAAGAGAAGGAAAAACTTGTAATTGCGTGCTCCAACACAGTTTACAATCCATACACAATGATGATCCATCTTGAGAACACATCTTTGACCTGCATAAGGAAACACGAATCAAGTAAAGCTTTCGTACTAGAAACCCTTACAATGCGAGTTTTCACTACTAAGCACACCATTGTAGCAAAACGGATTTCGCCTTACACACAGAACAATGATGGCAACGAGGCGGCTTAACATTCCGGCATTTGGTACAATAACCTAAAGAGCCAAAAGCTCCTTGATCTGTCGAAGTACCAGCCTCCAAACTGTCACCACCTCCCATTTCTCTTCTGAAATACTCGGGAACAGAACCTGGGTCCGTAAAAACAGTTGTGAAGTAGCTCCACAGCAACATAATCAGCTGCAAAGGACCAAGCAAGCATCATCTCATCAGAATTATAGTTGTAAATCTAACCTCAGAGAGACTAAAAAAAATTGAATTTCTATAACAATTGATGCTTAAACAATGATTATGTGTCTAAAGTGGTTCAAGCCTAATGAATTAACCCCAAACTACATTGCATTTCTCATTCTCATGGCTACACAGGTTCCATGCCACATCCCTAAGTTTAAGGTTTAGGGGTTAAGCAGCAAAACTCTAGAATCTCAATTCCAGAAACAAATCCTAATCTGAAATAATAAGACTTTGAATTACCAGGAAATGGAAAACAAAGATGATTAAGGCAGCGAGGGCAGATAAAGCTCCATGGTCGCTCCGGATCAAGACCGGCCACCATGTGCTAACTACGACGGCGTAGTAAGATACACCAACGACGGCGACGACGAGAAGGATCATGAAATAGCCGAGGACTTTCAGACCGGAGCAGAACCGGAAAAGGTTCATCTCCAGCCTGGTCAAAGGGAGAATCGGGACAGCTCTTCGAGTCCGAGCCGGGAACAACCGCCGTAAAATATCCGGAGCCACGGTGAGGGATCGGAGTTTGCTTGATTCGGAGGACAACGACGGTTTGATTCTATCGCCGTCGTGGAGCTAATGTTAGTACAGATTTAAAGTAACCTTCTTCTTGACAGAGAAGCTTTCATATTTCTTTATAAGGCCCATTAAGAGGCCCAGTAAATAAAAACAGGCACAAATGTTGCCGTTTTGGTTATCGCAGACTAGACGAATAATCAGACAAAGTGCCACGTGTACTATTCGGTGGGGGGAGACAAAATTTAATTGTTTGGAGGACTTTTTTGTCTTAAAATTTCCCAGAAACCTCGTCGGCGAAATTCAAACAAATCAAAAGTCTTAAATTTTCAGGATAATCCAAAATATTCGTTTGTTTTGCATTGGGCTCTTAAACAATTCTATCACTTCGATTTTCTTTTTTTATAATCGTGAGAAGAAACTTTAGGGTTTTACTGTTTCAGAGTTTTGATTGGTGAATTATAAAGATGCAGCAATCTCCACAGATGATTCCGATGGTTCTTCCTTCATTTCCGCCCACCAATATCACTACCGAACAGATCCAAAAGGTTTTTACTTTACTTTCTATCTTTTTGTCTTTTGGTTTTTTAGTCATATGTCTGTTTATGGCCATGTGAGCTTTGAATTTGGTTGTGTAATGATGTTTCTGAGTAGTTTAAACTGTTGTAATGAAGTTTTCTTCTTGAGTATGATCTGTTTTAAATTTTGTCATTTTTTCCGCTAAGTTTTTACAGGAACTGGGTAATCATGTTTGGAGTGAATTTGGCGTTGTTTATTGAGGGAAAATAGATTATTTGTATGAATATGAGATTGGGAAGCTTAGAATCTGATTGTGAAGATGACATATTGACAGTGAGTCACTTGTTGCTGCTTCTTGCAGTATCTTGATGAGAACAAGAAGCTGATAATGGCGATTTTGGAAAATCAGAACCTCGGTAAACTTGCAGAATGTGCTCAGTAAGTTTGGGATTGTCTCGGTACCAAGACCAAGCTATGTTGTTAGCTTTCTCTGATGGTAAATGGAATTTTAATAATAATACATGATTCTTGATTCTCTCAGGTATCAAGCTCTTCTCCAAAAGAATTTGATGTATCTCGCTGCAATTGCGGATGCTCAACCTCAGCCACCACCAGCTACACTAACACCAGGAGCCATGACTCCTCAAGCAGTAAGTTTCTGTTTTGATCAGTTTTTTAAAAAAAAAACATTTCGGTTCTTACAGTTTGTGTGTGTTGGTTTCTGTAGATGGCTCCTCATCCGTCAGCAATGCAGCCACCACCAAGCTACTTCATGCAGCAACATCAACAAGCTGTGGGAATGGCTCAACAAATACCGCCCGGGATTTTCCCTCCAAGAGGTCCATTGCAATTTGGTAGCCCGCATCAATTTCAGGATCCGCAGCAACAATTACATCAACAAGCTATGCAAGGGCACATGGGGATTAGACCAATAGGTTTAAATAATAACAACGGACTGCAACATCAAATGCATCACCAGGAAACAGCTCTTGGCGCAAACAATGGTAATTTGTAATTAACCTTTCTTTGAGGTTTTACAGCAGTTTGGAACTTATTATAAGTTTATAACATTACTGATTTTCACCTTCTTTCTCTACCAAAAGCGGGTCCAAACGATACTAGTGGAGGAGGTAAACAGGATGGGACCAATATGCTCCAGAGTGGAGCTGATGGGCAAGGTGGCTCAGCCGCTAGACATGGCGGTGGTGATGCAAAAACTGAAGGAAAATGAAATGGAGGAAGAAGAAATTATGCTTCTTGTTGATATTAAATAGGTTCTTCCTTTCTTTCTCTCTTCATTTTCACTTTCTTTCACGATGATAAAAAGAAGTTTTATCATTCAGGTAGTAGTCTCTGTGAAGGGTTCAGAGACAGTTGAGAGTTTTAGTTCCTAGATGGATGTGGAATGGTTCACATTCACATGTATTGTTAAAGTTGTTTTATGGTATTAGTGTCACCGGTTCGATTTGGTGTATGAACCGGTTTAGAATCACACTCAACTGATAGTTACCTCCCGGTTTGTGTGCAAATTGATTCCAAGGCTTGAGACAAGTAATATTTTGCTTAAATGCATACGAACCAAAACATTATCTTTGGTTAACTATACACACATAATCAGCCGGAACCAAAACCGAATGGAAAATATTTCCTTCTAATTCTGTAAAAACATTGCAAACCAAATTAACCAATATGTTTAAAGTTCAAACAAGTCTTGTTGGATCGATTTCATTTATCGTCAAAATCAAGAAACCGTACAAAAGTTATGCATCGGGAAAAGCTTGGTCCGAATAATGTGTTATCCATCAACACAAATTATTACTATAACCAGCTAGAGCAATTAGCCGATCCTCAAATCAAACACAAAAGAGCAAATATTTGTAATGAATCCATAACGAATGAGAATGATGCACCAGAAGCAAAAGCACTCTCTCAAAAGTTATTCAGGACGTGACTTGACGATGAAATTCTGGCGACTGATAGGGTTCATCACGACGGGAGGACCAGCAACTCTTGGCCATGCTTGGAATTTCTCTTCAGTCGCAGCCCACCATTCCTTGTTAGTAATAGTTCCCGGTGTAGTACCTGTGAGAGTTCAGATCAAACCAATTTAGCTTTTTAATACATCATTAGTAGCTAACTTACGAGGTTCTTCAGAATCAAAACTTGCCTCCGAAAAGCTTATTATCAGAAATAACTTTGTCACACACGTAAGCTACTACCGCAGATCCCGCAAGGGCACCGATTATGTATGTAGCTCTTGACATCCTTAACCTGAAGTATATATAGAATGAGAGATCACACATTAATCAAACCACAAATTCATGTACCAAAGAAATGAATTACAATGAGATGCACAAAGAGGAGAAAGTATCCAAAAAAAGGCGAAAACGAACAGATATATGACACAAATATCAGATTATAGCTACAGTACTGAGTGTAATTGAAATGAAGTTTCAAGGCATATTCAACCCTAATCAAGCCAATGAATCTCGTCAACCATTACATAATTAAGCTGATGAATCAAAAAATTCAATCATAACGCAAACAAAGAAACTTTATATGAGACAAATCGATGAAAGCATCTGAATGGTGATTTTACCACACATAACTGATAGAAACCGATCTAAGAAAATCACTGCTACAAAAAAATCTCGTTATATTCTTCCTAAATCGCACTAAATAACATAGCTTCGGATTTTGAAGAATAAAGCGTGATAACGATTCATAGATCTCGTGAATACCAAAAAATCGAAACAAATGGTGATAGACTACACAGACGACTAACGAAAACAGAAATTATCAGATAGATCTGATAGAATCGGTCTTTCACAAAGCAAGTATCGATTCGAGAAGAGTGGTTAACCTGGATCGATTTCACAGACGACGAAGGGAGAACGAACACGAAGGAGAGGCGCAGGAAATTTCGAGAAGAATCGTTGGTATGATTTACGTTTCTCGTCAAACTTGAAATGACCCAAAAGGGGTTTCCAATTGTGGTGTACACAAATTGGGCCATAATGGGCCACTTCCGATTATGAGATTTTGCCCAACTGATCAATTAATGAGTTTCTTTTTAAGAAAAATTTTATATATAATCTCTACATCTATTAAAAATTTGTACGATGTACGGTCAAAATTTGAGAAACTAACAGCATATAGATATATATTGTTGTATCTCTCATACCATCTGTAAAGATTGAATCGTGTTTTTAATATGATAATATACCAAACACTTTGTGCTTAGCATGCCAGTGCGTAAGAGAAATAAAGTAAAAAACAGTAGCACATAAAGTACTCGTATAAGTTTACAACGAGATCAAACTTTTGATGAAACAACAAAACATTAATCGCTAGAAGGATTTGTGTTTTCGAATACTCATCAAGTTAAACAAAACTTTGAAAAAAAAAACAAAAATTATTATCCCATCCCATGTTGACGTCATGAAAAAAAACAAAATTGTTAGACCATCTTTATTGGGAGGTGCTTAACTTGGTTCTTAGCTCAAATGAGATTAAAATTAAAGGTGTAATTGATGATTTTGCTAAGGAATGACTCTTAGCTAAGAGTCAAAAATTGGGCTAAGAACCAAAAATTTTACTAAGAACCAAAACTAAGCACCTCCCAATAATGTTGCTCTTATAGCCAGTGAATAAGGGACCGCACCGCATTGTGATAATTAATGTTAAATTATACGTAGAAACTAGTTTTTTTTTTTTTTTAACGTAGAAACGATATACGTTTTTTTTTTTTTTTTTTTTTTGAAACGATATACGATTTTTTTTTTTTGGAAACGATATACGTTTACATATATCATAAATATTATAGACATGTGGTGTTGATTTGTAACCATAATTAATCCTGCTAGACTAGTACTGTATGAACATTTTTTTGGTTGATGAACTTGTATAAACATTTCAACCAAAAAAATATTAGTTAACATAACTAAAATCATATATAGATAAATGAAACTAACATTGTCGTTACTCGTTACATATAAAAGTAATGATACGTACTTTTTGTTTCCTGCTTTGGATACCAATTTAGATCAAAGTCTTAATACGATAGTCTATTAATAAAAAAGAAATAATTAATTAATTTCGTAATTGACTAAACTTAGCTCAGTGATCTTAGGTTTCGGACAAGTGTGGTCCTAAGCCTATCTTCGGATCTTAATCCTTCTGGAACCAAAACGACAACATCTTGAACCATAACCTGACTCAAGCGCGACGCATTCGCGTGTTGTACACGGCAATCCATTTCCACTAACGCACTCATCAATGCCGACGTTGGATGGTTCACATTCTCTGTCTGAACCCTAATTATGGCTTCGTATCCGACGACCTTCACTTGCACTTCCAAGTCAGAGACTCTGTTTGATTCTGAAGGTTTCTGGTTGATTTGGTACTCAACGGAAGACGGAGACGTATTGCTGCTGTTATTGTCTAATTTATCTGTCTCCGTCGTCATCGTCGTCTTCAATTTCTTGATCTCAGTTTCGAGATCATTGATTTTGGATTTAAGACTTTCGATGTATGAAACGGCATCGGATAAGAGTGACGCTTTGTCCATTCGTGACACTTTTGGTACGATGGCACGTAGAGCGTAAAACCGGTGGTTTAGCTTCTCTCGCCGTTGCCTCTCCGCCTCTACGTGGGACAAAACCGGCGGATGATGTTTCTCTTCCGCCGCCACAGCTACATCCATCGTCTCAATTTTCCTCCTCCGTTTTCTTTCCGATCCCGATTGTCGATTTCCGATTTCTGAGTGATCTGATTCCGCCGGTTTAGGATCAGAACCGGTTTGGTTACTGTGTTCTGGGGTTTTACCCGACTCAAATATCGACTGGACCCGGTTTATAAAGTTCCGGTTTTGTATAATTGAATCAGACGAACCAAGTTCGATAATGCCATTGTTGATGGGTATGGAGACCAATGTGCGTACCCCGTGAAAACCGGCTTCTTTAGCCCTCTCGTAGTTGCTAAACCGGAGCTCGTCGAGACCGGTTAGCCAAACCAAAGATTCATCGAATATTTCCTTTCTCGGCGACCCATCTTCACTGTAAAAGGATGTGGCATAAAACAACTCCAGATCATCTCCACCGTCCATCATCAGCTCACACTCGATGCTGTTAGTTGTATACTTAAAGAAAGAAACAAAAACAAAAAATCAAGGGTAAGACGAATTATATGGTTTTCTTAATAGAATTTTTTTATAAAGTTTAATAAAAGAAATTTTGGATATATTAGAAAACATAAGGGGTAAAGAAAATGAACATTTTCTTGGGATTTGTTGTTCTTGTTTCCACAGAAATGACCGTCAACCCAAACCAAGTAAGACCGGTTCGATGGTTCATCAAACATCTTATGCCAGAAAATGATGTAAGCCCATCGGTCCGGTGAGGTTTCCAGGACAAACCGGAGTTTTTGTTGAAGTGCTAGATCCGCCGGGGAAGAGGACACCATGGCTGGAGTTTGTCGTGTAAAAGAGAGCAGAGAAGAGGACAATGATGGAGAGAAAGTAAGATTATACATTTCTTTTCCCGACCAAAGAGAAGACAAGTAGAAAACGATGAATAAGATTCTAAATTAATAGAGAAGAAGATATTAAATGGAAAGAAAATAAGTTTATTTTCGATAAGTTATATCAAATTTTCATTAATGATTTTCGTGAATTTAAGTTTATGATAAATATTCCAATATTAGTAAGTTAATTAGTCACGTGAAAAATGAATTGTTTTCCTTCTTTGACGTTATAAGAAGAAAAATTATCGTATAGTGGTCCACCTTTGATGAAATAGACAATATATCATTTAGGATTTATATAAATTATATTTTATGATAGTTCAAACTTCAAAGGAAAACTTATTTTGACAAATTTGAATAAAAAGAACATGAGAGTAAATGGATGATGACTTTAACTCCATATATAGTGGTGACACAATCTATACTATTAATTGGGAAGCACTCAAACATAAATAACCTTATAAAGTGTAAAGTATTACAAAAATGATATTGTTTTTTATTTTTAAATAAATTCATTAAAGATACAATAGTAATCACAAAATAATATATTTAAATAAAAAATAACAAATAATTATTAGTTCCCAAAAAATTAAACTCACTTTCTCTCTCTTATTAATTATGGACGAAAATTTAATTTTTTTTTCTAAAAAGTTGTTAACCAATGAGAATTGAAAAACTAAGATTTGATATCCAACTAAAATTTTATCTAAACCAATCCTAATAAACTATTCTATATCAGAAATAAAAAGAAAAATAATACCATTTTAATTCAAAATTTAAAAACACTATAGTTTAAAAAAAATTATCAATGGAGGATTTTAAGATTGAATTTGAAATTTTGTAAAAAAATTAAATAAAAATATTTAAGACTCAGTTTTGTTGCACACAGTTTTCGAAATAATGTGAACTAATTATATATTTTGCATTCAAAATAAATTATGCAGCAATATCATATCCCTTTTATAGATATATCTCAAATTTTAATTTTAGTCTAAAAAATGGAATTAATTATGATTAAACAATGAAAAGAAAAATATGCAAAATTTAGCTAGAAACATTAATAAATTTGTTAAAATATATATATTTATAACTTTAAAAGCATACATATTAATCCGCAAAACTCACAGTATATATTGTAATATTGTATGGTATTTAAAGGTAAGCAAACAAGAATTTGGAACATAATTTTAATGGAATAAAATAGAAATAGAAATTACGAGACGAGATGGAAGGAGAACATATATTAAAAATCAAACTAAATACCCAACTGGTATGAGTTCGGGTTAGCACTATATAAAATAAATTTGTTTACACACATAACCATGTACATACGTTTTCAGTTACACATACTCTATTTATGACAGATATGGGACCGTAATATTTTTATTTTACGTATACGTGACAGGTTATGGGACAAAGAATTTATGACAGATACCGGACGTGATATGTTTCATGTTCCAAAATAGTTACGCCTTGCTAATATACATGAAATAATCCAAACTAAAACCGAATTCATATCCTATTTAACATATGTAATCAAACTGTTACACCATTTAACTTTTGCAACTAAATTAGTCCGGATCTTAAAATATAATTATGCATTAACGCAACTGAATTTTTTGTTCATTACTCTAACTTTATAATATTTATATTATTACGAAGTTCACTAATACAACAAAATATTTTATAATTTTATAATCTATATAACAATTTCTATAAAAATATTTCTACACGTACGTGGATCCAGATCTAATACACTAAAATATATATCATAAAACAAAAAAATAATCTATATTGAATTAAATTTTGTTAAAAAAAATTTAAATTATGAAACCCCGCACGTACGTGCGGGTCATGATCTAGTAACGATATTAACCCAAATTATTATGTTACAAATTGGTCGACTATATATATAGTTATTATCCAATAAACTATTGAATGGCAAAACGAATAATAATTCTTTGAACTCGTCACTCTAGAACAACTAATTATCACATAATTAACGAAATAAAATTTAGTTATCTTATCATTCAGCATAATATATGTTTAACCAAGGGGACTTGATTCATCATAAATTATTTATTTGATATCACATTTTATACCAATCACATCATTTAACGAAGTATGTTCCCTGAGAGGATGTATGGTACTAGATATCCTAAACCTCTTAATTAGTAATTCAAAACAAAAAAGAGTTGAATTAATTAGTTAGAAAATAAGGTGGATTTTGATGGTTTTCAACAAATAGTTAATTATTCATATTACTAGTAGATGGTTCAAGTTAATTAAGCATTGAGAATTGAGAACGTCAATGAAATCATGCATGAAAACAAAAAATGAAATGGCATGATAAAAAAAGGAACTGATATATTTAAATTGGGGTAAGCATTGATCGAAGTTGAGTTATAGAGAAAACAATAAGGAGTTATTAGAAGCGATCAATGATCCTCATGACAGCGTCAGAGAGTTGAGCATAGATATTGATTTGACTAAATAGTTGGGGAGACGTGAACTTGACACTTTTGAGATTGAACCGACATCCCAGGGGAAAGCCAAGAGCAAGCTTTATCGATCCGTTGGTTTTATCGTAATCACCGGTTTTCAGACTTGTTTTGGCTTCCGACAGTATTGTAGATACATTAGTCGACAAGTCCTTTTTACAAGCCTCCAGAGCTGTTTTCACTTCACCTTTATCTTTCTTTGACGATAGATCTGTTATGTTGCTACACAAATGTTTTTAAACAAATGATATATTAGAGGATATTGTTATATGTATTTGGTTATAATATATATTTGGTTGTAAGTGAAAACTTGCTTGGTGATGATATGGAGGTGGGATTCGAGACAGTTTATGACGATGGCAGCTATGCCTAAATGGTTGGCATGAATGGAGGTTGGGTCGGATTCAAGACATTGCATGCATATGGCTGGGACGGCTGCATTGTGGCATTCATTTATCATCAGGTCCTTCTCGGCGCATATCGATATGGGAGAGATCACCAGAAGTGTTAACAGCAGAAACTTGATCATCGTCTTCATGCTAAAGTATGATTGATTATATAGACTATATATATTTCTTTTTGGGGGTGAATTGCTTATTTAAACTAAGAATATGGGACTGTGGTTGGTCATGAGTTATCTCTCGTACATACACTTGTTTAACCTCTTTAGTTTTACTTTTTTCAACTGACCATTCAAATGCAAACTGCTGTCTTATTTTATTTCATTTTGGTAGAAAGCAGATCACATCTCTCTTTTTTATTAATTATAATTTATACATTATCTTTTGTGATCTCTTTACCTTTAATATATGTTTTAAAGTTTTTTTTTTTTGAATAATAAAATTTAAAAATAGACATATGGATATTATTAATTATTGTAATAATATGTTTTATAGCTATCAAGTATGCCAGTAGGGTAATTAAAGATGGTTTTCTAATAAATTAACAAAAAGTAAGTAAATAATTGTATATTTATTAGTTGTAACTTGTAAGTAGTAATAATAAATTTAAATAAATGATTGTTTAAAATAAACTTCAGTGTAGATTTTTTATTTATTTAACTTTGATGAATATTGAATACTTCCTTAAAGATAGGCTAGCTCATAGACATGTTTATACAATGCGTCTATACTAAAGAGACTAACCTTTTTTTTTGTGTGCAAAACATACTACTTGTTTTAATTCATTCAACCCAAAAACAATTAAAAAAAAAAGGTTTCTGGAAAATTTAGAGCAATACAAAAGCCCAATGCATGCCCATGAACTTAAAAACATGTTTTTAGTTCACGAAGAGTAAAATATTCCTACCGCATCTAAAACCAATTGCTGTTCTGGCCACATAAATGGTCAAAGCCTCTCGTCCATTTCTTTCCACTTTCAAAATTCTTCAATCCATCACTATTTTGCATTACTTTTAAAGAATCTTACGAAGAATTATATTCGAAATAAAATTTCGGATATACGTACGTACTTGAAACAAAATTAAGAAGAGAAGACCAATGCATAATTGCATATTTAAGGTAGATTTTGCTTCACTTTTTTTGCAAGTGTGTGATTAAAGTTTTTGGGGCATATCATGAGGTTGTTTTTTGTGACCGTAAAGATTTAATGAACAACAATTGCGTAGACAACAAAAACGTAAGTAAATGTTGGTCAGATGAATTTAAAGATTTAGAGGATAAATTTCTTTACTTGATCAATAATACAAAGAAACTTCGTTTTCACATATCCTTATCAACGTAAACGTAACATAGAAGTTATATTGATGGTATACTACTTCCTTGTCTAAATGATTAATCTACTGTAATATAGTTGGCAAAGCAAAATTAAAGTCTTTTTTTTGTAAATCTGAAGGTTCGCTGAACCTCAGACCAAATTTCGGAATTAATAAAAATGTAAAATTCCAATTGACAAGTAAACTCATAGAAGAGATCAGTATAGTAAATATTGTTCAGCATAAAATTTATTTTATTATTATCACGAAATGATAATTTTCATGATCTGGCACATAAGCGTACAATTATTCATCATGAGACATAAATATGAACAACAACAACAACAACAACAACAACAAGCCACACAATAAGATAAAGATGAAATGAAGACCGAGATTTATTTACAGTCAGCAAAATGAGATAGGTATAATATCTATTAAAAAAGGCCAAAATATATATATATATATATATCAAACCCTAAAACACCGGATGAGATGGTTATGATGATGATGGTGATGATCAAGGAGATTATTACCGATAAATCTAGTGTTTTCTCGATCGATCAATCCTCGAACATACCTAAACTCCTCAACGTGACAAGGGATTGTGATTGTCCCTTTTTGAGAAAAACCAAACTCTTCTTCAGCTTCCTTCAAGAGTTGCACAAACAAAGGATGATTAAAGTACATAACTGGAATCACAAATCTCTCTTGCTCTTCTCCTTGTCCTACCTTCACTGCCAAACACCCTTTTGGTACCTTTTCATGATCATGCTCATGATGATGGAGACGTGGGATGTGGAAGCTCCAGTGG